CTATGTCCTGCCCAGATCCGGAAGACCACGGCCAGCCAGGTGTACGAGATGCTGCTCACCTACGGTGACATCATGCGTGAGGACGTCCTGGATGAGGTCATGGCTGTGCTGGGCACCACGGCCTGGTGAGTGCAAGGTCCCTTCCCATCTCCCCACCCGGCCTGGTGCGGCACCTCGGTGAATAGGGATGTCCAGAGCGCCCCTTCCTGTCCCCGAGGTGTCCCCCAGAAACCCTCTGAAGGGGTGAGGAGAGTGAGGCTCCCAGCCCTCGATGGCGTTACCATGAGGTAGTGGCCCTGTTTGTACCCAGGGGGCTGGGCAGGCCCCGCGGACACGGGGAGGGGAGGAGGTGCCTCTAGTTCAGGTGGGAAAATGTTCAAAGTGAAAAGGTGGGTGGTTCTGATCACTGATTGGTTAGAAGCTAATTGTTTATTTCTCTCTGGGCCGCTTTTGTTAAGTAATTGCGTCATGGGCTCTGGGTGCTGATGGGGTCGGGGTCACTTTGGGAATGGCTCCTCCTGCCCCCGAACTGCAGCATCAGAAGTGCCAAGAGGGGAGTGGCAGGGGGCGGGGTTCACCCTTTGTGGGGACGTGCCAGCACTGTGGCCAGGGCCTCCAAGGGGACAGGTGCCGCCACGCCCAGCTCCCCACAGAGGAGGCTGTGGTGGCAAAGGCCACACGTGGATGTGTCCAAACATCAGAAAGGGTGGAAGGAGACCAGAGAGTAGGTGTTCCCCTGCCCTTGCCCCTCCCCCTCCCCCTCCCCAGCCCTCTCGTCCCAGATACCCGGTTCCTTCCCAGGGTGTCCAGGGCCTTTGGCTTCTCGTGGGTCCCTCAAGTCACAGCTGGGCCCCAGAGCTGGTTTTAGGTGCAGTGTCCTGAGGTGTCGTTTGCTTTTGGACTTGGTAAGTTGGGACAGCAGGTGTGTTACGTGGGGGCGGGGCTGATGGAGAAGGATGCGTGGACAGTGCCGAGAGCGGGAAAGGCACAGCCCGTGAGCGCAGGCTTGATCGGGTGCACCAGATAACAGGTCACAACAGCCGTGTGGGGGATGCTGCTGCGTTCTAGGCACCCTGCGTGCTCACGTGCGCACATGCTCACCCACACGTGCCATCTACAAGGCGACGGCTGTGCTCACTGCCCATCTTAGGCCAGGCGGTGGCCCATGGAGGCACCGGTGGTAAGGTTGGTGCGCTCGCATCAGCAGGTGAGAACACGCATAACCAGCTTACGTGTGTTTCCCCTGAGATTGTGACCTTCCTAGGAGGGCTGAGCTGTCCACAGAGCCCCAGAGGCCGGCTCCCGTGCTCGGGCGTGAAGGACAAAACAGGGCCTCTGGTTTCAGGGCTTCCTGGAGGTTTTCAGGGATACATAGATCTTGGGGAGGAGGGAACTCTGGTGAACGTCTTTGCCAAGCCGCTCATGAGAGCTCCAGAACCGAAAATGTGGGCTCGGGAGGTGTGGGTGACCCACGTTTTGAACAGCCGGGCCGCTGACCTAACCCCGTCCCCAGGGCCCGCCCTGCAAACATCTGTGGGGAGCGTGTGAGTTCTCGCTGTGGAGGGTGCTGCCACGTGGTCAACTCCAGGTCACTTGCGGCCCATGGCTCCGGCCCTCCCCCCTCACCGTGTGGGGTGCACGGGGCCCTTTTCCCACCACACTTGGTGTTGGACTAAAGTCCAGAGAATTTTAAAGTAATTTTTTCTTGTTTCAAAAGAAAAATATAACTTAATCTTTATTTTTTTAATGTTTTTTATTTATTTTTGAGAGAGAGAGAGAGGGTGTGAGCAGGAAAGGAACAGAGAGAGAGGGAGACACAGAATCCGAAGCAGAGTCCAGGCTCCCAGCTGTCAGCACAGAGCCCAGCGTGGGGCTTGAATTCATGAACCGCAAGATCATGACCTGAGCCAAAGTCGGACGCTCAACCGACTTGAGCCACCCAGGCAGCCCTTTAATCTTTATTTTTAATTAAAGTGATAAGCAGCTTTTGAAGTCCAATAAAACTCAAAAAACCCACCTGCCCTACCTTCTCGGGCCTTAGCGTTTCTGTCCGTGTCGGGCCACCCGTCTGGGGCCACACCTCCCCCCCCAGTTGCCCCCGCACCTGAGGGAGGGTTTGGCAGCTGCCGATTTCCCTGGTCTCCACCGAAGCAGAGGTGCTGGGGTCCTGTGCACCCGGAAGCAGCTCCTGAGAGCTTCAAACGTGAGGCAGGTCCCAGCTCGAGCACCGTGCCATGGCTGACGCTGCTCCTGCCTCTTCTTCCCCAGGGATGCGGAGCTCCCGCTCGTCAGAGGCCAGCGGAACCGCCTGTGTGACCTCCTCGGTGTGCCCAGACCTCAGCTGGTCCCCAAGGTAGCCGCGCGGCCCTCGGCCACACTGGGAACCTGGGGCCCTTCCCACACGAGGCCTCTAAGTGCAGCTCCCAGGAGCCACTGTCCCGAGCTCCAGTCTGGGACGTTCTGGGTCACGTTGACTACTGGGCGCGTGCCTTACCCCGCCTGCCCCGTGTACACTCTGCTGGCTCCTCCTCCCAAAGCGAGAGGAGTCTCACAGGCTCCTGCGTGCATGTCCCCACCAGGCGTGTGTCAGGTGTGTCCTGTGGGCACTGCTCCCAGACACGTCCTCTGCGCCACCAGCCCTCAGCGGAGTTGTCAGTGACCTAGTTCATTCTCTCAGATGTGCTCCTCCGTCACGGCCGAAGGGAGGCTGCCTCGGGCCGGTTTCCACCATCACTACCTCCCTGGATACACGTCTGGTCCTGGGACTCTGTCACCCCAGGGTTTCCACGCCCCTGGCCTGTGCACTGTGGCTGCGGTGTCCTGAGGTTGCAGGGCCCTGAGCTGTCCCTCCAGGTTCTGCGTGACCATCAGGTTTTAGGCTCTCGTGTGTGTGCTTGCAGGGAATCAGGACAGACTCACGGTCAGTGTCTCCTCAGGCCGTGGGCTCTGCCAGAGCGCAGCGGCACATTCTGTGACCGCTGGGGACGGGGCTGGTTCCTTGGCCCCTCGCATTGGCTGTATTCCCCCGGACCTGGGTTTGGACCCTGGCTGCTGCCGAGCTTTTATTGAGCAAGAACATCCACGCGGGAGCGCGTGCGGTCCGGCTCTGTGCACACACGCAACGGGCACCTGGCTCAAGGGTGGAGCCCCCGCGCGGGCTGCCGGGCTAGAGTGTTGCTGCACGAGATGCTGGTGAGCAGATTCCAGAAGGTGCTCGGTCGGGCTGCGTGTGCGGTGCAGGTGGTGGGCGCGGCCAGCACCCCATCTGCGGTTGTTGGCCTGTGGGTCCCCTTCAGCGTTTTTGTCTCTGGGCTCTGTGGTGTGCATGGGCCCTGGGATTGTATCTGCAAATATCTGCTTGGGGGCAGGGGGCGCGGCTTAGGGTTCTGGGCTCCGGCCTTCATCTCGTCCCGCTCTGTTGTTCGAGGAGCTGTTGAAGGTCTTACCGGTTCTAAGGCCGTGTCTCCTCAGTGTTTCTTAAGAGCTTTATTGTTTTACGTTGTGTGTGGTGCCAGGGAAAGGCCAGCAGACGCTTCTTCCACATGCAGTCCATGCAGCCCCATTCTGGCCACGCTGTCACTGTGGTCAAAGTGGTCAAAGTGATGCATGACTGTCCTCTCGGGTCCTGTCCTGCACGATCTGTCTGTAATCCGGCACCGGCCTGTCTTGCTGACACGGGCGTGGGTCTTGTGAGACGTTGTGGTGCTCGTGCATTTCCGTCTCGGGTTTTATTCTTCCAAGACCATCTTGACTCTTAGTCCCCTTGGGTTTTAGAAACCTCTGCGGAATCGTCATCAGTTTGCAGCAGGGAATCAGCCAGGTATTCGGCCGAGGTCACTTGGAACCTCTGGGTCCGCTTGGCGAGAATAGACGTCTGTGATAGAGTCTCGTGGCCTTGAGTATGCAGGACTCTGTTTTACAGCTTTGGAACTGCCCTGTGGTCTTGGATACTCTCTTCTCTTTTTCCATCCTTTTTTCTCAACATTTCAGTTTGGGAAGTTTCTATCGACCAGTCTTCAGGTTCACAGATTATTTCTCTGGCCGTGCCCGTCTTCATTTCTGTAAGCATGTTCCTGATTTCTGGTGTGTCCTTTCATTCTCTCACTGCCCATCAGTCCTTGGTGGTGCCCACTTGCCCCAGCAGAGCCCTTGCCACATGAGTCATCCTTGTTTTAAGCCCTGGTCTGATTATCCCAACTCTGCCGTATCTGAGTCTGGTCTAGATGTTGGTGCCATCTCTCCTAGTTGCTTTTTCTCGCCTCTTGGTGTGTTTTGTGTTTTTGTTGGAAGCCAGACCCGTTGTGCTGGTAACAGGAACTCGGGCCTCAGGATCATGGGGTTTGCGTCTTTCTAACAGGGGCCCCTCTGTTCAGTATTGCCGCAGCTTCTCCGGCGCGTCGTGCCCTGACCTGGGTGTCCCCGCACCGTCCCCCTTGGAGCATCGGAGTCTGAGAGAGGACCCATGGCCGTGGCCCTGGAGCCCTGCCGGGGAAGCGGTGGGCTGTGTGGCAGTCTGCGGTCATCTGAGCGGACCTCAGCCATGGGCTCCCGTGGGGCAGCTCTGTCCCCCTGTGCCCCTGCAGGTGCCAGGGGCTCTGGCAGGCCTCTTCCCTGGAGGGGAGATGCCCAGAGCGTGGGGGACTTTCCAGGATCATGACCAGTGAGCCTGGTGCCCACAGAGTCTGGCCATCAGGCGTGCCTTCTGCCCAGTGGTCTCTGCTCCCGGCAGGGTCTGCCCGCGTCCGAGTCCAGCCCTCTTGTCTGGAAGAGAGAGAAGAGGGGCGGCCTCTCTTCTCTGACAGGCCGAGAACGCGCAGCACCTTGTTCTCGTCTTTGCGATGTTGCGACACGTTGGAAGTGACGTCACTCGGAATGTTCTTTATCTGTAAAAGTGCTTCCTGCCTTCAGGTCTACTTTAGGGGTAACCCAACTGCACTAGATTTTTGGATGTTTATACCGTTTCCTTTCTTACATTTAAACGGGTCTCTTAAAAATGGTAGTTAGGTCTTCTCTGTATTTAATCCAGTTGAGTATCTTAATTGGAGTTTTGTCCCCTTGTATTTAACGTGTGGTTATGGGTTTGGGTTTACATCTATGACCTTTGGTTATGGCTTGATCTGTTTCTTTCTCTTGGCCTCACTTGGATTTGAAGGGTTTATCGCTTCACAGCCCCCACTTGTACGGCTGCTACTCTGCTAGCAGGGGCCGCGAGAGCACGCAGTGAGCGGGAGGGCGGCACCAGGCGGGACCCCTCTCCTCGCCGTGTCCTGTCAGCTTTCCAGTCTCTCCTCCTTCAGGCTTGGAATCACATTGTTATTTCCTGCATCTGCTCCGGTGCCACACCGTGTGGTGGCCCTGCCCACTCTTCTGTTGGGCACCAGGGGGCTCCGTGAGGGGTGCAGTCAGCTGGCCAAGCGCAGTGCCAGCTTCCCAAGTAAATATGCTTTTATTAGGAAAATTTCACACACAGTGGATGACGTTTGTGGAAAAGTACAGGGATCCTCTGCCCGCTGCCTTGGGGTTATGTCGGCCTCAGGGTCCTGGGGAAATGGGGGCCCAGAGGGGGTGGTGCTGGCGGTCTGACCCTGTGCCGTGTCCCCAACAGTCTGGCACCCGCTGAGGCCCCCTGCCCGCCTGGCAGCGGGGAGGAGCCTGATGACAGCACGGGACAGCTGGACACGGCGCAAAGGGACTTGAAGTTCGTCACCACGGCGGCGGTGGCTTTTCCTCACACGTGCCCTGGGATGTTGGTGCTTTTGCCTTCACGTCCACGGGAACCCCGTCTATAAAATCATGTTCTGAGCAGTTCTGTGTCTCTGTGTGTGATGCTGATGCGCGGGCCTGGGGGGCAGAGGGTGGCCCCAAGCAACCCTAGAGGGGCCAGAGAAACGGCCAAGGGGTGGGCACCCAACCTTGCCTCTGCCTCACCCCATCGTGCCCGGTGCTTGTGGGCGTTGCATGTGGTCACCTACCCTCACACGGTTGTGGGCAATCCAAGCATCCTGCCTGAGCCTGGCTGCGCCCCCACAGCAGAGTCTCGAGTCGGGAGTCAGGAACCCAGCGAACAGCCCTGTGGGCGTGTGTCCTCGGATCTCGGGTTCTCCGGTGATGTGGGGAAGCACTACGGTGCACCGCTCACCTTGGCCAGGTGTGTCTTCCCCAGAGCCCAGGCCCCTCAGGGAGGCTGGTGTGCACGGCGCTTCGCGGGGCTGCGCCTCGTCTGCGGGCTGGACGCGGGAGCTGCTGCCCGCACCGGAGGCGAAGGCCGTGGCCGCGCTGGGGTCGGGGCCCCGCGCCAAGACCGACGGGGTCAGGGCGGGGGAGCCAGCTGCCCTCTCCGGCGTGCACGGGGACGGGGGCCGAGCGGCAGGTGCTTTTGCTGCGTCCTTCAGCGGGAGTGGTTTCCTTGCCTGGGCCGAGGCACCATGTGGGAACGTTCACCTTGTGTGCTCCCCTGACGGTGTCCCGTCAGACCCTCTGGAAGGGAAAGTCGTATGTTACTTTGGGAATTAACTTTCACTGTATTTCGAGCCTTAAGACGTGCTTCCTTCTCTGAAGTAAGTAGGGAGTTCCCATTTTACTCCATCATAGGTGGGGGACGAACTAGAGGACCCCTTGCTGGCGGGGGCCGGAGGACGGCAGGTGGGGAGCCCGGCCCTGCAGAGCAGCGTCTGGACCTTGGCTGCAGAAAACCCAGCACGCGGCTTCTGAGAAACAAGTAGATGAACTGTTTCTTGTGTTTAAAAATCCACGAGATTCCAAAGAAGGGCCCTTTTGGACACACGGAGACCGGTCGCTGCACACAGACCCGCAGAGGCCCTGCATCTCAGAGCTCTTTACCCGCCAGCATGAGGAAAGCCGAACGGCCCACGGGCCGCACACGGCCCAGCGCCCCTGCTCACCCTCGGCCACATCGGACCCTGAGGGTCACCCTCGCTTGGACACAGGTGACTGGGGTCACCTTCCCTGCAGCTGCAGGTTCTGGAGCCCCCCTGGGTCCGGGTGACGGATCCAAGACCGGGGCTCTGTGCACTCACAACTAGGGAGTGTGGCCAGGAGCAAACGTGGACCGTCCCGGTCAGCAGCTCCAGGGCCCGGAACCACAAGCGACGGCCAGTGTGTTGGGCTGTCTTGGAGGGAAGCGGTCGGGAAACCCTCCAAAGGAGCAGCGAGCAGGTGGGTGCCTGACAGGAGCATCTGGTGAGCTTGGGGAGCAGGAAGCCAGTGTGCCTGGGGTGGAACGTGCAGGGGGGCTGGCGGGGCCACGTGTACACACGGCCACGGCTCAGTCCCCGTGAGCAGCTGCTGCATCCTGAGTATCCGTGTCTGCCCATCCCGACACTGGTGGCGAAGCTTCGCTGTGGTGGCCTCTTGGGGGTAGGACGTTATGCCAAGCTGGGACCCTGTGTGGTTGTGCCCTCCGCGGTGGCGTGAATGAGGACAAAAGGGGACGGCGGTGACACCCTGGGTAAAGCGTGGGCAGCCGAGCGTCTCTGTGCAGGGAGGCACGGTCAGCAGACAGTGACCCCGGGTACACAAAACGAATGATGGCTAATGTGGGGAGTAAGTAGAATTTGAAAACAGACAAGAGTAGCAAAAGGTAGGCAGTATAATGAGCAGACATGTTTCTGGAAGACAGCACTGTGGCAGGATGCTGGTCCTCCCGAGCTTTGCACTCGGAACACAGACCCTGCGAGCCCGGGATCCCGGCCTTCCTCGTAGGAGCTCTCGGCGCAGGCTCCTGACTACCTCCGGCAGAAGTCGCCGACGAGGCAGCATGTCAACGGCCTTGAGTCCGGAGGCAAAGAGGAAGCTGGCTCCCTCACCTGCAGCGAAAGGCGACTTGGTCGCTCACGGCTGACGGGATTTGCTCTCGACCTGGGTTTGAGCACTGGGGTTCCCGGAGCTGAGAGACAAGGTGCGAGACCGCCCACGGCCTGCGGCAGCCAGTTCAGGAAACCAAGCGAGAACCCCGAACCCCGAAGCCAGCAGCCCGAGGCTGCCAGGACGCGGTTGAGAACTGCCAGCCCCCCTAAGCGGCCCCTCCTGCGAGCAAGGACCAACCAGAGAAAGCCAGACGTGCTCCCCCAGCCAGCGGGCCACCTGAGCGCCCCTTTCCCACGCTGAGTCTCTGCCACCTCACGGGACCGGAAGACACCGCCCCGCGAGCTCTGAGCACACAGCCTGCGCTCTCAGTTGCTGGTCTGTGTTTCCACATCTCTAACCGAGTCACACAGGAACCGTGCCCCTGGGTTGGCCTGAGATCGGCACAGACAGCCGGACTGCAGCCCCCAGCAGCGTTTGTCCTCGTGGCACAGGGTCCGTCAGGAGCGTGAGCTAATGAGCTCCTGGCAGGACAGACACGCTGGGTGACGGCGGTGCAGGGCCCCCAGCGGCAGAGGAGAGTATGCGCCCCACAGACGGTCAGGGACACGCTCCTCAGGCCCTGTGCTCACGGCCCCTCATTTTACCACGTGTCCACCACACCCTGGTTAGAAACACAGGCGCGTGCCCTCCAGGTGAAGGGCCAGCCCCACACGCATTCGGTGCCACCTCCCGCTTGGCGTGCTCCCTCTTGGGACCACTGGCCACCCTCCCTGGCGCCCTCGATCTCTCTCCTGGGCTGTGGCTGCTGGGGGCCTTTGGCGCACCTGGAGGCAGCTGTCCAGGCCCTCAGCTGAAGTGAAGGAAGTCCCGGCCCTCCTGCAGGTGTAGCGACCGCAGGTTGTCCTCAAATGCGCCCCCGGTGAGGTCCTGTGGGAGGAACAGCAAGTCTGGCTCAATCAAGGCTCCCCGGCCCACACTGTGGCCCCCACAGATCCCCCCCAAGGGGGCCTGCCTGCCAGGTGCTCTGCTGTGAACTTCTCTGTTAAGAGGGGAGGGGCGGACACAGGGTGGGGATGTTGCCAGAGTTGGCCACAAAGTCCTGCTGGTCACTGGTGGGAGGTGGAGGTGGGGATCCTCCCAGGCCCCCCCCCCCCCCCCGCCAAGCTGGAACCTGGCCCCTCCCTGCAGAAGGGAGCAGTCCCCTTCACCCCTTGGTCCAGGCCACCCGGCTTCCCTCTCCACGTATCCGCGTCCATGCCCTGCCCCTGCTGCAGAGGCCCCAGCCCGGACTCCAGGAGCTGTCAGCAGACCCCTCTGGCCTCTTGGCCCCAGCCCTGTACTGGGGAGAGGACCCTCGAGTCAGTCTCTATCCAGGGCTTACCTGTGGCCCCATGAGCTCCCTGAGATGACCCCAGAGCTGATAATGCTTCAGCTTGGCCTGTGTTGGCTCTGGCCAGGCCGCATGGCTCCCTGAGTGGGAAACAGCTGTGGCTCCAGCCAGTCCCTCACCTGGTGGCCTGTCCCAGATGCCACAGGCCTTTGGCCGGATGCAAGGGGCCCAGTGTTCACCCCGTTGGGTTCCTCTGTCCTTGGGCCCAGCATGGGGGTCAGCCTGGCTATGCACGCCCTTGACCACTGGGCACCGCTAGAAATGCTTAAATGGGAAAGACCCGAAATTCCTGCACTCTCCTCCACCTGCTGTCCATTCTCAGCTCCGCCCCCTTCCCCGTAATCTCTGCGCCCGGAGCTTTCAAAGGAAATGCCTGTATTCAGGCCAGCCAAGCTCCACTATGGCCCAGAGAGGAATGGAGGAGGGGGCTCCCTCTCAACAAGATGCCACTGAAGTTAGACGCTTCTGTAAATTAACATAACCAACAAAGGATCAGGAACCAGAGACATTAGAACTTCTACAAGTTGTCAGGGGAAGATTTGCCCCCACCAAGTGGGGGGAGCCCGATCAGAAGCATCCCAGAGAAGGGAGGCACTCAGCCTCATCACTCAGATGCGCATGCTAAAACCACAGCGAGAGCCACAGCCCCTCCTGAGCCCCAGCTTCGGGGAGCTGGCCCTGACAGGACACCTTGGGGGTGCAGTCCGGGACCCACACTTCCACTCCTGGATAAACCCAGAAACGGGCGTGTGACATTCACACGGCTGAATGCCGCAAGGCAACAAGAAAGGGCCCTCAGTTCGCCTCAGAGGTGATGTGGAGTGACAGCACATTTAGTCTCCTTTGCACAAACTACAGAAACAGCATCAGACCGTATGGTTTGGGGTTGCACACACACACACACACGGCAGAATAATTAGCAAAGAAATTATGTGCATCGGGGCAGCTCTGCGGGAAGGCTTTTTTCTGACGTGGGTTGGGCCACTTGTTGGGCACATTAACCTGTGCAGCACGTTCTAGAGCAGATGTCTGCAGTGTTTCTTAAAGGGCCATACAGTAACATTGACCGTTTGGTGGTCATAATATGCTGTGTTCTAATAAAACTTTATTCATAAAAGCAGGTGGTGGGCCATGTGTGGGCCATCGTCTGAATGTGTTAGTTCACAGTAAAAAAGTTTATCCAGAAAAGAAAATGGTGAGGTAAATTGTAAAAAAAAAAGAAGAGTGGAGGAAGGCTTGTCTTCCTAAACGGTAAATACCATAAAGCCCAGGAATTAACGGTGCTGGTGCACAGACAGACAGTAGTAGACCAAGAGTCCGGAAGTAGATCCAACATAAAAATACAGTGTCTCATTATTAGAAAGGATAGGAATTCCCCAAATAGCCCCAAATTATTTGGGGACAAGTGGGCATCCAAATGGGAAGAAAACTTTGAGTCCCTAGTTTATTTATTTTTAAATTTGTATTTATTTTAAGAGTGTGTGTGTATTGGGGGTTAGGAAGGGCAGAGAGAGAGAGAGAATCCCGATGCAGGGCTCGAACTCCTGAACCGTGAGATCATGATCTGAGCTGAAATCAAGAGTCAGACACTTAACCGACAGAGCCACCCGGGTGCTCTTGAATCTCTAATCTTTACAGCAAAATAAATCCTAGTGGTCAGAGATAAAGTAAAAAGCAGAAATCTCAGAAGCAAACCTGGAGAATGTGCTTTAAAATTTCACATTGAGGAATTAATGTCTTAGAACGAATAAACCTCCAAAAGCCATACAAAAATCAATTAATTTGATATCTAAACAAATTTTCCTAAAAGGCAAAAATAAAGTCAAATGACAGAAAAGTTCACAAGACCTATCACAGAGGCTTTTGTCGTCATATAAAGAAAATACTAACAGACCAATAGAAGAATGGGCTGATGAATAGGTAATTCACCAAAAGGGAAATAAAGATCCTTTTAAACTTGTGGAAAGACACCCTCCGTACCCGTAACAAGGCCTTACAGACCTTCCCCCATGATGTGAAAACATGGCGGAATTTGGCCACGCTGCAGGGGGCGGGCAGGGAGGGTCACCGGTGGGGGCGAATGTTACCGCCCCCTCCTGGAACAGAGCAAAATTCCACGTATATATTCACCGCACCAGTATGTTTGATAGCAAATGATAAAAATGGTCTAAAGGTGTGTTGAGACTTAACCGGATGATAAGGGGTGAAACCTCCGTACAAGCGAACAGTGTGCGGATACGCACACGAATCCCCAGGGGTTCCTCCTCCCGGAACTCGTCCAGCCCCCGACAGGAGCAGGGGTGGTGGGGGGCCCCTGAGGGGCAACCGCCCCTGGAGCCGCACAGGCTGGAGCCGCGCCAGCCTCCCGCCTGTGCAGAGGGAGCGTGTGTGACCCCGGGGCCCCAGGCCGCACGGAGACACGCAGGTGCCCCCCGATGCGAGCGTGGGATCCGACAAGCCACGGAAGAGCAGAACACAGAAGGCCCCGGGGACCTCCGACCAGATGGGTGTGGGGAATTTTGGGTGTGACATCTCTGTCTCAGAGTAAATTTTGTAAGGTTTTTATCTTCTTGGGAAATAATGTTGGAATTTAGGATTTGCTTCCCAACGTTGGGGGCGGGGGGAGTTGGGAGCACAGAACCCACAACGGCCACGGAGGCTGCACAGGGACATGGCACACAGACACATGCCACATGGGGGACGGCTGCACGGGGACACAAATGGGGGGATAGCCACATGGGGGACACACCACACGGGAACAGTGGGGATGGCTGAATGAGGCTGGCTTCCTGGGGCTTTGGGGATAAGGCTGAGATGTGCTAGGAAGTTTGCTTGATTAAAAGACGACGACAGGGGAGCCTGGGATCCAGCCCCCACACTGGGCTCTGTGCTGACAACATGGAGCCTTCCTGGGACTCTCCCTCTCTCTCTGCCCCTCCCCTGCTCCCGTGTGTCACAAAATGAACATTATTCTGTGTCTCAAAATAAACATTAAAAAAAAGATAACAGTCTGGGGTGCCTGGGTGGCTTGGTCGGTTAAGCGTCGGACTTTGGCTCAGGTCATGATCTCACGGTCCGTGAGTTCAAGCCCCGCGTCGGGCTCTGTGCTGACAGCTCAGAGCCTGGAGCCTGTTTTGGATTCTGTGTCTCCCTCTCTCTCTGCCCCTCCCCTGTTCATGCTCTGTCTCTTTCTGTCTCAAAAATAAATAAACGTTAAAAAAAAAATTAAAAAAAAAAGGTAACAGTCAGATGGTACCAGCGGGTTCATATAGAATAATCTGCAAGATACATCACGTAAAACAAGCAAAATACAGAAAAAGTATGTATAACATGCTGCCATTTGCTTAGAGAAATCCCACACATTTGTGTCTGTGTTGGCTGACTCTGGCCGAAAATACAAGAAACTGGTGCCTGTGGGGGTCCCTCCAGGGACACAGAGTGAGGGGATGGCAAAAGAGCTTCACCTCCCACCCAAAGCCTGCTTGCCAGGAGGGGTTTTCATTGTGGGGAGCGTTCTAATTGCCGGCAGTTTTGGTCCCAGAGAAGTAGACTCTTAGCAGAGCTCGTCTCCTCTGAAAAATTACGTGTACATTTGTGCAGAATCGAAGTGTCCCTGTACAACCTTATAATTATCCATCCAGTCTCCCTGGCGACTTGGAACCTTGCTTACCTTGGCTTTAAACAGCCTCTTTCCTTTTAGGAAACTGCTTTCAAACCAGAAAACCCAAAGCCAGGTGGGCGGAGGTGGGTCTGTGTCACCCCCTTCCCTGGAGCGCAGGCAGGACCTGCCATGGGACACAGCTAAGGGGTGGGACGTCACTTGTGTGACTTGGTCCGTCTTGCTAGCAGACCCTGCCCCTTGCCAGCTTGGAGAGAATATGCTGCCACGTTGCAGGAGGGGGTGGGGATGGGGGTGGGGGCGGGGCAAGTGGCAAGAAACAGCCAGCAAAGCACTAAAGCCCTTGGTCCAACATCCTCCAGGGTCTGGCTTCTGCCAACAGTCCTGACCCTGCTCCGGGCAAGCCTCCCCATGTGACCGCGTCTTGGCTGGCACCTCACCAGCAGCTTCGCTTCTGGGCCCCACCTCTGGTGCCTGATTTCTGAACCACAGACGCTGTGAGGCAAGAAGCGTGCGTTGTGTGGGGCTAGCTTGTGATTGTCACCACGTAGCAGTAAATAAACAGGGCCAAGCTGGCAAACAGACAAGCAGGACAAAACCTCTGGGTGACAGCTGGGGACAGGAGCTTGCCGCAGCCGTGGTGCACGGAAAGCTAGACCGCCACGTGCCCAAGAATGGGGCCGGCCGCCATCTGCACACCACACATGACACTCGTACAAGGAAATGCAGGGGGAAAGCTGGCGGGCCTGGATTTGGCCGTGGTTTCTTAGTTGTGGCACCAAAAACATGAGCAACTAAGTTAAAAACAGATAAACTGGACTTTGTCAAAATGAAATACTTTTTGTACCAAAGGACCCCGCAAGAGAGAAAAAGGAGAACCTGTAGAACAGGAGAGGGTGTCTGCATCCGGAACACACGAAGAACTCCGGCTCGACAAGATGAAACCCAGATAAAACACGGGCAAAGGACACCAACCGACCTTTCTCCCAGGACGACACCTGCACGGCCGACAAGCAGCTGCAAAGACTTGGCATCATCAGTTGTCAGGAAGACGCACGATCAAAACCACGCACGCTTAGCAGCCACCGGACGGCTGGAACACCACCGCCAGCGGACAGCGTGGAGAACGCTGGTGCCCCTGCGCTGCGGTGGGAACGCGAAATGGTGCCACACTGTGGAAAACTGCAGTTCCCCAGACGTTGAACACGGTGACCCCGTGACCCCCCACTTCCGAGAGACGGACACGCTTCCGCACAAACCGCACAGGAAGGCTCACGGCCACGTGGCTCTAACCGCCACCTTGTAAGTGAGTCATCTGTCGCTGAGGAACAGGTCAGCACCAGCACAGCAGCCTGGGACAACACGTGTCTGCTTCTGGTACTTTCCACAGGCTGGGACTCGGGATGGCCCCTCCGGCAAGAGGCAGAGTCCAGCCCCTTGGAGCCGTGCTCCCAGCCCCACCTGGGGGCCCTTCCCCGGGCCACCGGCCCCACCCGACCTGAGGTGTTGGCCGCACAGGGTCTTAAAGCAGCCAGCGGGGAAGAAGGGCGCCCCCTCCCTGAACCCAAGGCTCAGAGCAGGACGGACTGCGCCTCCACGAAGGCTCCTGGTGCCCTGGTTACTGCGCCTCCAGCTCAGCCTCACGGGCTGGCAGCTGCTGGAAGAGGTGGCAAGTGTCCCCGTCCATCCCGTGGCACCCTCCCCCCCGCAGCAAGCACTGGGCCCTGCATGCCCATCCCGCCCACCTGAGCCCACTGGCCCCGTAGCTGGGGTGCACTAGGCATCCAAATGCGAAAGATGACATGTATATTTATACAAGTGAGAATGCAGCTCTCCGGCCCCGGAGAAGGATTTCCTCCACGGAACACAGGTGTTCATCGTAAGAGAAAAGTTATGAATGTCCTCGTGTGGGAAGTAACCTTTCCTGGAAGCCTCCATGGAAAGGCAATCCCACGTGGGAGAAAATGTTTGCGGCTCTAACGGACGGAGGACGGGCACCAGAGTCTGTACAGAGTGCCTGGAGGTCAGCAAGGCAAGAGGCGGCCCTACGGGCACGTCTGGCGGGAGAGGCGGGCTGAGCCGGCTGGAAGTCTCACAAAGGCGGTGGGGGCTGGGGGTGGGGCCTCCCAAGACCCTTTAGGTCTCCAGGCATGAGAACATCCGGACTGTGCCCTTGCCATTGCCAGGCTGGATGTGACCAGGGCTCACAGCCTGATTTCAGCAAGTAGATTCACAGGCCAGCCTGATGCGGGCAAGCAGACCGGGGTCCCCAGGACCCCGCTGCGTGATCCCAACACAAAGCCGGAGCTGAGAAGCGGGCACCCGTGTCCCCGGGACCCTGCGGAGGGGGTGGGGAGGACGTGGTGGGGAGAGTTCTCAGGACGGCCCTGGGCACGGGGACCACGGTGCTGGGTCAGAGGGGTGTCTCAGGGACGCTTCCACCACCTTCCACCCTTCGTCTCTGCCACAGCATCCGATCAGCACCCGGAAGGTGCCTCAGGCCTGGCACTGAGCAGGTTTCCAAAAAAACGTTGCTTTTATAGAAATGCAGCCCATTTTACACAGGCACCATGGCAGCCTCTCCCAACACCCCAGCGGACCCCCGAGAGCAGCGGTCACCACCCCTGGCCCGAGACCACGGCTCCAGACAGGTGGCCCAAGCCAAGGGCCTGGATGCCTGGCCACGTGTCAGACGTCTTGATCCCACAGCTGGGGCCTTGTTCCAGCCACGCCGTCATCAGTGGAGCCCAGCCACGGCTGACACTCACCAGCTTCACGCAGATGACGAAGGGCGGCCGTGCAGCTCGGAAGTGCAGGATCGGAACCCGAGGCTTCGGCCTTTCCTGAGGGAGGAGAGGCGTCGTGGGCTCGGCTCTGTGCTGGCCTTCGGGACGCCCTGACGCGCCAGACATGTGCACCTGTGGCCGCCCCGCAGCCTTCACCCCTGTCCGGCCCTGAGGTGCCCTCTAGTGGGAAGATGGGCCAGGCAGGGACACTGGTCACTCTGGGGTCCGAGTCGCCCAGGAAATGGGTTCACCTGTGCTGGGCCTGGCAGCTGTGTGGCTGCAGGCGGCCTTCCCCGGGGAGGAAGGTTCTGCACACTGGCTGCTCTGTTTCCTGGTGGGGTAGGGGTGGTGACCCGTGTGTGACCCAGGCCCTCCCTGGAGGGGCTCCTGGGCCCCACGCACCTGAGAGTCTTCATGGCAATAGAAGCCTTTCCTGATCTTGTTCTCGTCCACGTCACAGAAAGCAACCACCTGGGGGTGCAGGACACCAGCCTCAGGGATGGGGAGGGTGGGAGGCGTGGGGCGGAGGGGGAGGACGGCGAGGGGGACGGGGACCCACCTTGCGCTGCATCCCGGCTGTCAGGCTGCGATAGAGCCGGCGGCCTTGCCTGCCTGCGTTCCAGATGGTGAAGGTGGCCCAGTGCGGCAGCGCCCGCTCTTCCAGAAAGCGCACGCGATGGGTCCAGATGGTGGTCCTGTGGGGGCACGGGGGGGGTGGTGAACCACGTGGGTGGGGCCCCCAGCTGTCCCCAGACCTTCCTCCCTACCTGGCATTGGCTGAAGGAATGAAGGGTGAACAAGGGCCACGCTGCCTCACCCACCCTCACACCCAGTGGCGCATGCCTTTCTCAGGGCCGCGTCCTCATGGACCCAAGGGACACCAGGCACAGACCCTGGGGAGCCTGAGGGGATGTAGCCACCCCAATGTCAGGTGAGCTCAGGCGAGCACAAGAGCCTGGGCATGTCCCAAGAGCCGCCTGGAGGTGAAGGTTTCCTGCGGGAGCTTCCCACCTGGTCCACGTGGGGACCCCTCCGTAGGCGCCTTGCTACAAGCAGACTGGAGGCCCAGCCACTACGGGGGTGGGGGGCTGGCACACTCAGCTGTTTCCTGTTTAATGTGGTCACATGTGAAAAGGGCCTAAATCACAGGCGTGAAAGCATCGCTAAGAATTTGGAGGGCAGGGGCGCCTGGGTGGCTCAGCTGGTTCAATGTCCGGCTCTAGATTTCAGCTCAGGTCATGATCCCAGGGTCATGAGATTGAGCCCCACGTTGGGCTCTGTGCTGACAGCTTGGAACCTGCTTGGGATTCATTCTCTCTCTCTCTCTCTCTCTCTCTCTGCCCCTTCCCCGACTTGCTCTCTAATAAATAAACTTATTATCACGATGCCCCAGCGTGTTTGTGGACGTTTGAAGACGTGCCCCAGCCCCAACCCAGGAGCTCAGGGATGAGGCAGTGCAAGGGGCCACTCAGAGGAGCGACCCGCACCTCCAGTCTGCTCAGGTGTCCGGGGCCCTGAGATGCCGGCACCTGATGATACAATTTAGAAACTGTCACAAACACACGTGCCTTATGGAAAACAGGACAGTTCCCGCAGCAGCATGGCCAGCGACCCGCAGACCAGAACGTGCCCACGCGCTATGGCCTTCCTGTCCCCGGGCGGCCGCTGGGTCAGAGAGGCCATAGGAGAAGGTGGAGCTCACGCGGGAAGGGCAGCGGGCAGCGCGTGCGGTCAGGCAGCCATTGCATGTGGTCCAAGTGGAAAGGCGGGGGAAGGCGTGACCGCTGCGCACCCACCGTGCTGGCCTTGGCCGCGGGGCTGGGAAGGTGGCCGCGGGAAATAGGGTGAAAATTGCCCAATGAGGTAACCGCTGGCCATCCCCAGTTTAAAATACAAGGACAACCCGGGAGAGCTCTCACAGGGGGGCCTCTGGGCAGAGTCTGAGGAAACTCAACTCCCGACAAGCCCGAGGGTGTAATTAAAGCTCATTACTCTGGGGTTTTGCCACTCACAGCTCAAAGCATTTAATCCAACACAGAAACTAACATGAGATCACTTCTTTTGTGTTGTGGGTGGCAAAGCCTCACGCTGCAAAAAAGAGAGAAACCTCTCAACATAAAAGACAGTGATCCCATGCAAACAAGATGAGGGCGTGTGGGGACAAAGCCCAGTGGCCGGCAGCTGGTCCTTCCTGGACACGCGGGCTCCTGCCACACTGTGGGCCACCACTGAGTCCTACAGAGAGATCCCTTTCCCCTGTCTTCTGAGAATCTAAGGTGAGGACACACGGATGGGAACGTTCACGATGATGACAGAGGAGAGCCCCAACGTCCCACCCCTGATGGCACATGGGGAGGGTCCCACCCCTGATGGCCGTGGGGGGCAGGGGGTTCCCAATGTCCCACCCCTGACGGCATGTGTGGGGGGGTTCCCAATGTCTCACCCCTGACAGCACGTGGGGGGGTTCCCAATGTCCCAGCCCTGATGGCATGGGGGGGGTTTCCCAATGTCCCCTATGTCATGGATCTAATTTCTATCTAGTTCTAATTACTGTCACCAAACGCTGGATCCAGTCCCACGTGCACACGCCAGCGGCAATTCCCCCCCACTGTGGAGTAGTTGTGGTGTTGAACAGCATGCTTTCTGCTGGTGGGAGAGCTTCCAGGAAGCACCATCCCACAAAAGCATCTTTTGTGTCTGGCCTCTTTAGTGGCCATATTGCTTTGACATTAACCCCGGTCCCTGTGTCTATCAGTGGTTATCTGTTCAATTATTGATGGCCATTTGGGTTGTTCCCAGTTCTTGGCTATATCAGCAGTGATAGGCTGAACGATGCTTTCACGTCTCTTGCCTAACACACATGGACTGCTGGGGCACCGGGGATATTAATTAATTTAAAGAATGCCGGGTTTCCAGAGAGAATGTACTTTCACACTCCTGAGAGCAGAGTATGACAGTTCTGGTAGAGCCACACTCTTTCACCCTTTAGAATTGGCAGACATTACCTTTAGCCCTTCTGTTGGATGTGTAGTGGGTTTACATTATTTATGTATCACACGGTATTGTTTTGTGAAATGTTGTGTTTGTTGAAGTATTCTGCCTCTCTTCGTGGGTGCTCGGGGTCCTGTACGTGCCTCCCATTTGGTCCCTTCAGATACATGGATTGTGAACGTCTCCTCTCAGAATGCAGTCTGCCACTCAGCCTCCGAACGGTGTCTCTTGATGAGCAAAGGTTTTTAATTTTTATCAAGTCCACTTTATGAAGTTTTAAATGGTGAATGCTTCTCACATCCTGAGAAGTTTTTGTCTGCCCTGAAGTTGTGAAGACGTCCCCTAGTGTTTGCTCCAGATGCTTTCTACTTTAGCTGTTTCTGTATTTGTATCTAAGATCCACCTGGAATTAGTTTTTCTGTATGGTCTGTGATTTTCTTTCTTTTTTTTCTCATGTGAATATCTAGTTCCACTTGTTGAAAATACTTTCCTTTTCCACTGAATGCCTTTGGAGACTTTGTTGAAAATCAATCTGTGATACAATTTTGAGTGTATTTCTGGATTGTTTCCCTGGTCTCTCTCAATGCTGTTGCTGTTTCCTGACCGCCGTGTAAGACTTCAGAGTAAGTCTTGAAATCTAGCGCGGTGAGTCCTCAAATTTTGCTCTTTTTAAGGCTGTTTTGGCCATTCTGGGTCCTTCAATTTTCCACGAGGATTTCAGAACCAAGATACCAATTTCCACAAAGAAGCCAGCAGGCTCCTGTCCTGGGACCGCGAGTTTGGGAAGAATGAGCACCAACGTTACTGAGTCTTCCGACCACGAAGGTGGCGCCCCTGCGTCCGCCCTACAGGGTTTCCTGGATTTCCTGCAGACTTTGCAGATGTACACACACCTTGTGAAATTCACCCACAAGCATTTTATGTTCGGGGCCACCACACAGATGCCTTAACTGTGTTTTCAATCGTTCATGGCAAATGTGTGGATTGTGTGTTCCGGCTGAATTCTATAAATTGTGACCATTTTAGTTTCATCAAATTAAATTTTTTTCTAATTTCCAGTGTGATTTTTTTTTCCCCTTGGTTGCCTAATTTCCAAGTATTTTGGACTTTTAGGATGTGTTAATGATTTCTAATTTAATTCTATGTGGTTATAAAACATACCTTGTATGACTGCAATCATTTGAAATTGATTCAGAGTTGTTTTCTGGTCCAAAGTATTGTCCATCTTGCATCTTAAAGGGACAACGTCTTCTGTGGTCGAGTGTTATGTCCCGAGTCAGGTCAAGGTTACCAGTGTGACTCCAGTACCCTGGCAGACTTCCCTGTTTCTCTTAGTCACTGGAACGTGGCACAAAACCTCCAACTGTAGCTGCGGACTGTTTCTGTTGGGGTTTTTCACGTGGAGACTGTGATTAGACACACACACATCTGGTGCTTTGTCCCGTGACATGACCTCTTCCCCTTGGGTGTAAATCACACTGGCACAGAGTCAGCTTCATGACAATAAACCCAAAACAATGATGCCCCACCAAAGCTATTATATAAAAATTCAGATTTAACACAGGACAACCAAAATCGAGCTCTTCTGCTGAAAGCCGGAAAACGGAAGTTTCGACACGCAACAATACGCCTGACCTCCCGAGTCAACATGGATGCTGCAACCTGGGCCCCATACATGACCATCACACAGACTGGCACCACGCGCCCTGTGTAGGTGGATGGCAGACCTCCCCAGACGAGGCCGCTCAGCTGAGAAGCTGCAGCCTTCTCACACCCTGCAGGGAAGCACAGTGAACACTGCTTCCAAGACAGGAACATGCCCCCGGGGTCAAGCTCTTCGCATTCCGAGGGCCCAGTTCCTCCAACCCTGTTCCCAAAAGTGAGCAGTGTCACAACTGTGAGGCACCAAGGGGACACACACTTGTAATTGTGAGAAACGTGCCCATGCACGCACAGTTTAAACCGAAGAAACAAGAAGACGCCCCTTCCCTCGCTTCGCCTTCCTCCATGTTCCACCCCTCCTGCCCGGGCAGGACACGCCCGAGGACACGCCGGCCACTGGGGACATGGGGCCGAGCAGATGCCATCACAGCAGCCCCCTCGGTGGGGGCAGAGAGGGCACAATGAGCCCACCTGTAGCCAAGTTAGACGGGCACCAGGCTCACTGGGAGGCTGCCGTCAGCTCACGGCAATTGAGACCAACACTTCAACGGGACACGTACGCAAGATTCTACCTCACTGTGAAAAAGGGGACAGACGTGGCCTTCATCCTGGGGAAACCGCAACCACAGACCCTGGGACGGCTTTCCCCCATGAAGGCCACGGACTCTGTGTACCCACACCGGCCACGCTCACCTGGGGTAGAGACCCACCCCAGGTGACCTGTGTCTACCCCACTGATCCTGGCTTAGACTTTGGCCATCCCTGCACCCTCCACCCTGGCCCCCGGCCTCTCCCCCGACCCCAGCCCTTCACACTTGACCCTGGCCCCTCACCCTCAACCCCAGACCCTGACCCCTCACGCTCGACCCTGGCCCCTGGTCCTTCATGCTCAACCCTGGACCTCGACCCGGACCCTAACCCCTCACCTTTGACCCTGGACCTCAGCCCCTCATGCTCAACCCTGGCCCCTCGTGGCCCCCAGACCAGGTCTGGAAGCCTGGGACGTACATACTCGAGGACAGAGTGTGTGGCCGCGTTGGGGTGGTAGCGGTAGAGGAGGAGGCTCTGGTCCACGCGGATGACCCCGCCGCCCTTTCTGAGGTGGCTGTAGAAGAACAACAGGTCCTCCGGCTCACCCTGCGGGGGAAACAGAAGCATCAATGTTGCTGGTGTCTCGCTCACCACAGAAGACACACCTGTGCCAGAGGCTTCCGTGTGAGCACTAGTTCAGGTGACTGGAGGTGGGGAGTAACGCCCAGCCTCATCTGCAAGGCTCCAGTGTCACTGGCGTGCCCAGCACTCGAGTGTGGGGACGTCATCTCAGGATGAGGACGTGATGGCCAGGAAGAGCTAGGGTCACAGGGGTGGACGAAAGGCCCCAGAGTCACCCTCGCTTATGCTCCCCCCCACCCCCCACAAACGGGGTCTCTGTGCTGCACGGACCTGAGAGCTTTCCTGTCTTGAGAGAACTCAGCCTCCCACCATCCCCCAGCCGGTCGGGCTGGCCCAGCTCAGCACTGAGCACCAAAGCTGGAAGCCAGACACTGGCTCAGCCCCCTTTTCATTCCCTAAACTCTAGAGTGACAGCGGGCAGAGAGGTCTGGGTCCTGCCCACCCTCCTGGCTGTAAGCTGTGCGTCACTGAAGGTGCGCCCCGGGGCCTGGTCTCTGACTGTACAGGTCTACAGCCTGAACCCCAGGCCGGCTCACAAGCCCAAGGCAGCGCGGGCGCCACAGCCAAGCCCGCGACTTGACTGCGGCCTCTCCAGGGCCTCCTGGCCGCTGCCCAGTTTGCCTCTCTCCCCAAGAGGAGGGTCGCACGGCTGCCCTCGGGGGCATGGAATCCCGAGGGAGACCCCATCTCCCACCGCTCCACGCGGCAAGCATGTCCCCAGACTGGCTCTTCGCCAGGTCTCGTCAGCGTTGGCAACACCCAGTATGCCTGGCTCCCCAGGAGCACTGCCGCTTCCGGCTCTGGGCCGGACGCTTCTGGGAAGGGCTGAGCCCCACCAGGAAGCGCTGCGCTGGGCGCAACTCCCGGCTCAGCTCTTGGTTCCCAGGCTCTTTCCAGGCTGCGTCACCGCTACCATCTCAGCCTCTGTACAGTCTTCAGCCACAGGAGTCTGCGCTCCTGGTGAGCAGGTGCCCAGGAGGGTGGACAGTGGCTCAGACTCTCTGCCTTGTGGGGAGCAGTGGCGCTCCAGGGCCACATCCAAGTAAATTCTCACGACTTTACTTCTGGCCAGAAAGAAGGAAACCCTGAAGGTGAGTTCTTCCAGATCCCAAGAAGAAAGCCCACCTTTTCCTTCCTGTTCCTAAACCTGTAAAGTGCGTGGTTACAGTTTGCTCTATAAAGGTTTGGAAAGACAGGAAATTAGAAAAAGGGACCTACGCGAATCACCTGTGACTGTCACCACAAAGCTGCTCTGAGCTTCCGTGTGTGGCCCACGTGTTTATTCTCCGGTGGACACACTTTCAGCAGAGCCGCAAACAGTTTTGAAGCTTGGTTTTTACCTTAATGTTTTATTATGAATCTTTTCACATCACCGTGATCTTTGTAAAAACTAGTCCTTCAAGTCACGTGTGCTGACACACTTGTCCACCCGCACGTTGGAAACGAGGGTGTTCACAGCTTTTCCCCACCGTTAGACTGCTGTGGATCGCCACAGGCTCTGTGCCCAAGTCACCCTGCCGTGAGCACATGGCACCTTTCGGCCGGCTCGGGGTCCACCCATAATACAAGGAAGTGTGCACCAGACTCCTTGGCTAGGACTCCCGGGCCTGTGCTGGCCTTACAGAGTGACCCAGGTGGACAGACACTCTGGAGCTGACTTTGGGAACCAAGGACTGTGCCAGGTCCCGGACGTGGGGGCGTGGCAGGCGGGGTGGGCACACTGAGGGTCCCGGAGGTGGGGGTGTGGCGGGCAGGGCAGCACACCCTGGTGATGGGGTGAGAGGGGATTGGGGTCCTGGGGCGGACGGGAGCACAGAGCAGGCGCCAGTCCCTGATACGCTCTGGAAGCTGCGTGTGACAGTGGCAGGAGAGCGGGTTGTGTGGATCCCTGAGAACAGGGCCACGCAAAGCCATCTACGCGGAGCCAGTGGGAGAGAGTGCAGAAAGTCAGACACTTCCCCAGATGAATAAAATTCAACCCGCTGATGTAACCACAACAAAGACGACCCCGAACCAGGAGTCAGATCAGCACCGAACCGTCCCTGCACCTGAGAAGGCAAGGGGGACCCGGGCAGCGGTGTGGGGGGGGGTGTTAGGGGGTGGGGGGTAGGGGGGAAGGGTGTGCCTCCCAAGCCTGGCCGCTCCTGGCAGCAGACTGGTGATGCTGTGTGCCTGAGGATTTGCTAGAATACATCCAACTGCACATTTAAACAGATGAACTGTATGGTACGTGAATTATTCCTCAATAAACCTCTAAAATAAGAGGGGACTGATTGAACTCAAAACAGAAATAGGAGGAAAAGATAAAATCATATGAGAAATGAAGCCTAGAAACGTAGGAGTGGGAGAGAAAGTTCCTGAGAGTAAAGCCAGGGACCATCCCACTGATGTGAAACCAGAGTCTGCAAAACAGAAGGAAACGACAGAGCAGAGGGCGCACTGAGAAGTATGTGCCAAGGGAACTCTGGGAAACACAGCAGACCTTGTCCACCTACCGGAAAGGCGCAGCAGTTAAGTCCCTGTGGAGCGATTAGTTTTTAACAAGGAAATAACCCTCAGAGCCTCCAGGCACGATCACGCGCGCACCAGGTAGAGAGACTTCGGTGAGCGTCAGACTCTGGAAAGCAACAAACCAAGGCAAGAGCAGAACAGAACTTTCACTCTCAAGGAAAGGAAATGAGCCAAGGGTGTTCTGTACGGCCATGTCCCTCAGGCAGCAGGACCAAGGACCACATTCTGAGCGGGACGTGTATGGCTGTGGACCCAGGGTCGGGTGGGCGACGCATCCACGTGTGTACGTCTTCCAACATTACTGGAAATCACACAATAAAACGGGAGAAGGGAAGAGAGGGTCTCACTGCAGGGTGTACAGGAAGCAGATGGGCGTCAGAATACCTTTCGAAAATGGAAAATAGCAGACCAGAGAAGGTTTAAGAAGCATACACAGGACTAAGCGCATCTGAAAAGAGAGAAATGCAGAAATAACCACTAGAACAAAATGCAAGCCCTCAACGCCAGAGACATTTAAACAGCCCAGAGTGGGTGATGGCCGCTGGCTCCGGATGGCTGAGTAGCCGCCTTCCTGCAGCAACGACACGGTGCAGGCCGTGGTTGGGGCGGGGGGGGGGGGGGGGGGCGACACAGACTCCCCAGGGATGGGAGCCACAGCCTTATGGCCCCGATGTCCTCAGGCTGTGGAAGTGAGGAAATCCCATAATGCAGAAGTCAAAGAGAAGAAAACATCCACAAGCAAATACCCGGTAAAGAATGCCAACAATGTGAGCGCCTGGGGGGCTCATTCGGTCGAATGTGCAACTCTAGGTTTCCGCTCAGGTCCCGATCTCATGAGTCATGAGCTGGAACCCCACATCAGGCTCTGCTCTGACAGTGTGGGGCATGCTTGGGATTCTCTCCACCCCCCTCTCTGCCCCTCCCCTGCTCACCCTCATGTGTTCTCTCTCAAAATAAATAAACATTTAAAAAAAAAAAAAAAGAATGCCACCAGTTTGACAACCACAAAACAACCCACTTGAAAGTGGGCAAAAGATCTGGACATTTCATAAAATAACAAACGGCCAATGAACACATAAAAATTGTTTAACATCCTTAGTGGTCTCAGAAACGCAAATAAAAATGAAAAGCCGCCAAGACCAACCAGAATGGCTGACACTGAGAGCTCTGAGCTGCTGGCCGGGCGTTGGGGTGGGGTGGGGGGGGGGGCTGCATGGGGAGGGCAAGATGGGGGGGGGCTGCACACGGTGGGGGGAGGGCAGGGCATGGGGGGGTGCCGCACGCGGCGGGGGGAGGGCAGGGTGGCCTCCCCCCTCACAAGCCAACTCCAGCCGGCTCTTTCCACCAGACAAAAAAAGCACATCAGGAAAGTGCTGGTGGCCAGCCTTTCTGGGCAGCCAGTTCTCCCCGGGCAGTGACGGGCCTTCTCCCGACCTTCCCACCCAGGCCAGCCTGCCCTCAGAAGGCATGTTCAGAACCAACAAAGGCCTTTTTGTTACTTTCCTTTTTGTGTAAGGGCCTGAACTGGTTGCCTCCTGGAGGCATTCAGATTCCCTAGCTTGGTAGCAGAGGCTGCTTACCACGGCTGGATGCCACCCTGTGCCAGCACGGTACCTACCTCCAAATCTCCCCTCCCCCTCCCAGCCTGCCTCTGCAAGTGCATTTCCCAGTTAAAACCTGTCCACCTTGTAGGTCCAGCTCACAACCACTATTTCCATCCCCCTGGAGCCCCGGCTTATTTGCTGACCCTTGGGCCACCCTAGTCCACACCTCTGGTCACCTGCTACATCATTTAGCACCTGGACTGTTTTCTGCTGCTTCGGCCACTTGCCCCTCTCTCCACAAAGTAGGAGCCACAGGCTCTTGGCCCTGGGTAGACTGTGGCTCTTCACTAAGGCCCATGGAAAATTACCTGAGGGCCAGTCCCCAAACCTGATCTCTGGTCCCTGATCCCTGGTGCCTGGTCTGTGATCTCTAATTTCTGGTCTGTGGTCTCTGGGCCCCATCTCTGGTCCCTAAACTCTGGTCCCTGATCCTCGGTCTGTGATCTCTAATTTCTGGTCCGTGGTCTCTGGCCCCTGATCTCTGGTGCCTGATCCCTGGTGCCTGGCCTGTGATCTCTAATTTCTGGTCCGTGGTCTCTGATTCCTGGTGCCTGGTCTGTGATCTCTAATTTCTGGTCTATGGTCTCTGATCCCTGATTTGTAGTCTTTGGCCCCTGATCTCTGGTCCCTAAACTCTGGTCCCTGATCCCTGTTCTCTGATTTCTGGTCTCTAGTCCCCAATCTCAGGTGCCTCATCTCTGATCCTTGGTCCCTGAACTTTGATCAATGTTCCTGATCTCTGGTCCCTAGTCCTTGAACTCGGATCCCTGATCTCTGATCCCTGGCCTCTGATCCCTGGTGCTTGAAATCTGACTTCTGGTCCCTGAAATAAATCTGGTCTCTGGTCGCTGCTCCCTGAAATCTGATTCTTGGTCCCTGATCCCTGATTGCTGTCCCTAATATCTGATCCCTGGTCTTTGATATCTGGTGCCTGATCTCTGGTCCCTGATATGTGATTCTTGATCCCTTGTCTCTGGTCTCTGATCTCTGGTCCCTCAGCCCCGGTACAAAGGGACTGATGGCCTTTCTTTGCCCCCAGGTACTTCTACTCCAGGAAGAATTGCCTTGAGCTAAAAGGCTTGATGTACTTTGAATCCTGAGACCACTCATGGCTGTGAATTAGGGATTTGTCAGATCTTTCAGTCAGTGTTCCTCAGGGATCACCTCCCGATGACCATTTCTGGGCCATTTTCTGCAGAAGAATATGAAAGCGGGTGCTTGGATTCAGCTCCAAAGAGAACAGGGGCCTTTTGTAGCACCTGCTTAGGTGGGGAGATTTGCTGGAGTTTCCCTTTACCCACCCTGTTGTCTCACAGTCAGGGAGAACTTGTTGGCTGAGAGCCACCCCCCACCCCCCCAAAAAAAAGCTCTGCCTGCCTTGGCCCCTGCTGCCGCTGGTGAAGCTGAAGTCCCCGAGACTGGGGCCCCTGGGCAGGGTGGTATCACACGTACATAGTTCTATCTGTATGAATTTGGGGGGAGAAACAGGAACACAGGGATGATACCAAATGCCCTAAAATCATGAATTAACACACCTCCATGACAAAGTGACCTGGTCTCCCATCCCAGCAAGGTGGAGAGACAGGAAGGTCAGACAGTGCACGGCAGGGTAATTCACATGTCCACTAGCTGTGGCCCAGTCCATGGAGTGAACAGGAGGGTGATTCCACGGCCTGTGCTTTCCTACGAACAGCTGTTAAGCCAGGATGAGGTAGCCTGGGCCTGCACACAGAAATCCCAGGTGGTGCCAGGGCCTCAGATACTCTCTGGAACACTCAGCCCAGCTGGCAGGAGAAGTGCTGGGAAGGCCTTCATGGAAGGCATTTTCCTAATCCCTGGATCCCCAGAGAGGGCACAGCACCCATGAAGTAGGTAGGGCTGGGATTCAGGGAATTCGCACCCCAGAGTGTTACCCCAGAGGAGGGGGCCCACAAGGGGCCCATACTTACCTGCCCGCCTTCGTCAAATGGGCCCACGTAGGAGAACCATGCTCGAGAGCAGAACCAGGTGGGCATGATCACAGTTGGGCCATTGGAGGTAAAGACCTAGAAGCAATGACACTGACATAATTATTGGAGAACACCTTATCACACACAACTGACAACTTATCTTCCACAAAGTGTAAGTCAGAAAGTGACAAATGAATTTGCCTTTCTTTGAGGTACAGCAGTTCAAGGGACTTTATAGCCACATCAACAGTATCTGGTGCCCAAGGCTAACAGATGGGGGAAGAGGGGCCAACAGAATGAGTGGCCCCACTGGGGTCCTGTTCCCAAGTTAACGCTCATTGTGTTCAATAAGGAGGTCCCCCTGCTTTTGACTGGTGGTGAAGCTTCATGTGAAAACAAAACATAAATATGTTGCTTTTAATTATGACAAGAAAAACTGAAACAGGATAAAAAGATAGTGTACATGAAATGGATAGACTCCTAGAAAGACATGAATCACCGAAATTGACTGAAAAAGAAATAGAAACTATGAATAGATCTATGACAGGTAAGAGATTGAAAAAGTAGTTTTAAAAAAACCCCAAACATAACTTCCCACAAAGAAAAGCCCAGGTCCAGAGGGCTTCACCAGTAATTCTATCAAATATTTAACAAATTGATATCAATGCTTCACAAAGTCTTCCAAACAACAGAAAAGTGTGGGAGACACTTCCTGAGTCATTCTGGAAGAGACCAGCATTATCCTGACACCAAAGCCAGTCAAAAATATCACAAAACTACACACCAAGATGCCTTATGAATACAGTTGCAAAAATGTTCAACAAAACACTAGTGAATGGAATCCCAACGTCATAGAAAAAGGACCCTACACCATGACCAAGGGGACTTTATCCCAGGATTGCAAGGTTGGTTCAATATATGTAGCCACGCTGAAGAAAAAGTCTCCAGATGCTGAGACTGGGCGGACGTGCAGGGCTGCCTCTGCAGCGAAAACAGCGGCAGGAGCAAACTGCACATGGTCTTTATTTCATGTTCGCCAGGTAGAAACATCGAAGAATGTTAGAGCATGGGAGAAAAACAGAAGGAGCCTCCAGACGTAGAGCAAACTGGTGTTTACAGAAAAGCAAGCAAGGCAGGGGCAGGTGTGTGGTTTCAAGGACTGTTAGGCAGGGACGGTGGGTCGGTCTCCTAACTGGCTCCTGGGGCCCTGTTCTCATAGCGCCGTCACGTCCCACAGCCTTGAGCCCAGAGCACCGCTGACATTTCAGCAATTACCCCATTCATTTTCCCAGGACTTACAAAACGCTCTCTAGAAATAACTCTCTAGAAACAACCTATGACAGGAAAACCTCACCAGAATTACACGGAAGTCTGGAGAAAGGCGGGGAGGCTTTTATAGAGGAGGAAGGAGGTTGGGCGGGGCTGTTGTAAACAGAATGTCCATTGGACTATACTGGGAGCTGGAAGTATGGTGGCTTCTCATTGGCTGGGCTGTGGCTGTCTCTCATTGGCTGGGCTGTTGCCGGAGCAGCAGGAAACCTTCCTGAAAGGTGCCTCTCCTCCTGTTGGGTCTGCGATTGCTAACTAGTGCTGGGCCCACAGCTCCCCCTGCCCGCCTCTATCCCACCCTAAATGAGGTTTCCTTGATTCAGTTTCACACTTAAAAGCACAATACAATAAAGAACATTTGGAATGAGTCCATAAAATACATAAATGTATGGAAAGGAATGTACCTAAATAATAACAGCAGTCGCCAATGACTGCTGAGGTTACATAGGATTTGCTTTATTCTTTTCTGTATTCCTGAATTTCTTTTTTTATATTTATTTACTCTTAGAGAGAGAGAGAGAGAGAGAGAGAGAGAGAGAGAGAGAGCGCACATGTGAGCAGGGGAGAGGGGCAGAGGGAGAGAGAGAATCCCAAGCAGGCTCCACACTCAGTGCGGAGCCCAACTTGGGGATGATCTCAAGACTGTGAGATCATGACCTGAGCCGAAATCGAGTTGGTCACTTAACTGAACCACCCCGCCGTCCCTATATTTTTCTGGAAAAAAAATTTTTTTAGAGTTTATTTTTATTTATTTTGTGAGAGAGAGCAAGAGTGGGATAAGGATAGAAAGAGAGGAGACAGAGAATCCCAAGCAGACTCAACACTGTCAGCACAGAGCCTGAAGCAGGGCTCAAACTCACGAGCTGTGAGATCATGACCTGAGCCAAAGGCAGACACTTAACTGACTGAGCCACCCAGGCACCCTTGAATTTCTTAAACATCAACAAAAAAGCAAGATTATAGTCAGAGAAAAAGCTGGCTCCACCTTGAAAAAAACATTTCCAGGAAAAAATTTTTGAGAAAAAAAGGTACACGTAACTATAGAATTATACTTTTATATTCAACGCAATTTCTTTCGTTTATAAAGAAAACACTCAAAATTTTCTGAGTGGAATCATTAATTTTGTTCTGAAAATTCTTTCTGTGTACAAGATTAATATATGTTCATTGACACAAAATATAGAACGTCATGCAGAAAAACTAAAACCATCCCTAATTGTACCACCCAGAGAAATAAAGTATTAAATTTACAGTGTGTTCCCTTCCAGAACTTTTACCTTAGGAGAAAAATTGCAAAATGTGTACCAAGTGTGTGCACACAAACCCTAACCCTATCACCTGCTGTCCTCATAGTTCTGTCTTAGGTTTTCTTCTGGAACACCATCTCTGTGCCGGGAAGTCACAGCTGCAGAACGTTGTCCCCAGATCTCTCCTGCCATCATCTTTCCTGACCTCCAGTTGCTCCTTCTTCAAGGACTTCTTTTACTTTGAGAGTCTGGAACTCTAACTTTCTAGAATGTTCCTGCCTCCTGCTTCCTGGGGTCCACCTGTTCCCACAGGACTCAGAAGGTCCTTTGTATGCAGTGATGGCACCCATAGCTTTTTGTCCCCACCAAACAGGGTCACCGCACCTGAGACACCCTGGCTGGTGGGAGCCCGGGGTCTGTCTGAGCAGCAGTGGCCCAGAGGGTGGAGAAGGAGCCCTGTTTCCCTAGTGAAAACAATCAGTGGTGACAAAAAGGTGTTACGTGTCAACGAGTCCCACTGGTGGAGAGCTGGGCCCCGGGGCTCCACACCTGGGCATTTCTTTTCTGAGTTAATTCCTATTAACCTGTAAAATCTGAACTCATGCCAGTGACAGGTCATGGGCAGGGCATGAGCATGTGACTTCTGTGAGAACATGCCAGACACTCGGTTCCAAGCTGGGCCCAGAATCTCAGTTTCTCCCGCACTGGGAGGCTCTGAGCACATCACAGAACCCTGAAAGCTGACTGATTAAACGCTGCAGCTCAGAGCAAAGGCAACGAGCCCCTCAGCCCTCTGGGCCTGGGAAGCACTTCTTCTGAGTTCTGAGAGCACGACTCACCCTTGAACAACACAGGAGTGAACGGTGTGGGTCCACTTACAACATGGATTTTTTTTTATAAATACAGCGCAGTGCCATTATTGAGTTTCCCTAGTGGTCTTCTTAGTAATGTTTTCTCTTCTCTGGCTTACTTTATTGGAGGAATACGGTATAAAATACACGTGTTAATTGTTCACGTCACTGGTGAGGCTTCTTGTCCTGTAGGCTATTAGCAGTTGTTTTTGGGGGTCAAAAGTCATACATGGATTTTGGCCTGTGCGGAGCTTCGGCACCCTGAAACCCCACTCTGTCCAAGCGTCAACTGTATTTCGATGTGTCAACTGTCCAGCGGCACCCTGCCCCTCAGGACAGGCCCGCCTCTTCACACACGGCTGCAGAGCAAAGTCCCTCTCTCGCTTGGCTGTCTGAGCCGGCTTACATGATGGTCAGTGAGGACGGCATCACCTGTGTTTGCTGGGGGCCCCCACAGTTCTGGAACCCTCCACCATGTTTGCTGTGGGTCGCCACAGTTCCGGAGCCCTCCACTCAGCCCAACACTCATCCACTCCACACGGGGGGCTGTTTGCAATTCTCAGAAGCTACCATCAGGTAGGTCGCTGGGCTTCCTGTGAGTGGCAACGTTAGTGGTGCCACTTTGCAGAGTGCTGGCCCAGTGAAGCACATCGAGATACTTAGCATTTTACACAAACGAGCCGGTCGGGGTGGTTACACACATACGCATGTATGGTAAGACTCAGAACTGTATGCCAGAAAGGGAAAAACCAATCCATTGTATGGTGTGTTAGTCTTTGGACAAGTAAATGTTTTCAACTTTAAATGGTTTTTCCAGGCTTCGTGGAGTCTAGGTGAGGGCGTCTGTTTACAAAACAAAACCAGAGGCACACATATTCCTACAAAGATACACATAGATGTGCTCCCACAGGCCGCCAGCTTCACTGCCCAATGTGAGGACTGAACAGGGGAGACAGGCCAACTGGCAGAGACTGGCTACATGGTTTTCTGTCCTGTCCCTGAGATGCCAGCCCCCAGCTGACGTGTCCCCTGCTCCCTCGGGAGCCTCATGTCTCTCCGTGGAAACGATGCTGGCTGCAGGTGACGGGAGAAACCTGCTGATGGAATTTTCTTCTTGGCAACTTGGGGAAGGAACAAGGCCAGAGCAGAGACGAGGACGGAAGCCGGGCACTGTTCCTGGTGTTGCTGACATTTCTGTGACCAGCAGGAGATCAGAGGTCCGGAAGGGGGCAGGCTGGCAGGACAGAGCCTCGGGGTTTGATGGCCTTTTGGAAATTTGCCAGTCTTCAGTTCTAGACACGCTTCAGGCTGTGAACGAATTCCGTGTTTGAATTTGATGCTGTGTGCAGTGTGTCCAGAAGGGCTCCCAGAGGGCAATGAGCTGGGACTGTGGGGGCCGAGGAAGGCCAGTGACCACTCCCTCAACACAGGGAGGAGGCGTCCTATGCTTTGTGAGCATACCCTGCCTCTGAAGTTCCCCGAGACTCTTCATAGGAAGAAATGGTCTTGGAAGAAAACCGGCCTTTCCTTGAAGGATGGCTGGTCTGGGCCGCTCCCAGCACCACATCATGTGCCTGAGTGGCCAGGGCAGGCCTCCCAGCCCCGACCCCTGATTCAGCCAGGCCAGGCTGTCGGCACATCAGGGGCTGGGTCCCGGGCTCAGCTGCTA